GTATGCACATCCGAAAACCAAATACAGAAACAGACTTGATGCCGAACCAGACCTGAGACTTTATCTTTCTCCAGTGGTTCCAGACTTCCAAGAGCTATGCAGAGCAAGGCAAGCGAATCCATCACACTGAGGAAATTTAAACTTAAATCCCTGGAAATATTCATTTTTAGGAGGCGGTTCACGAGATGTCACAATTTAGTGAAAGGGGTTCGTGGGCTGTTAAAGTTTGGGAACCACTGATCTAGAGGGAAGTTGCTTTCTGACTACTATGCTGAGCAAACTAGGTGCAGCTTTCATTTACAGGGAACCCATTTCTCTCCAATATCTGACCTAGAGGCATTCTTCATGAGCTCCCATCTATATACCTGCAAAAAAATCTCCCTTGTCAATATATCACCACAATATAACCGAATGTGTGGCTCCCAAGATTATGACATGATGGGGGAGGAAACTATAGAAAGAATCAATTCACATATATGACACCATATTTAATATAACATTTACATCATGGTTTCTGATGGTCCTGAAGCTTTTTCAAACGTTTTTCAAAAAGTGGCCTGCCCTGTTAAACACTCTTCTTAATTTTAATAACAATGGGTTCCTGTAGTGGGGTGGTCACCCGCTCCTGCCTGGAGGGGCTAAAACACCTGGAAGAGGGCTGCAGCACAGACAGCTAGGCTGATTAGAAAAGCAGCCAGAGCTGTGGGCCGCCTAATCAGGGCCCAGCTGGCCCTTATAAGAGGGCTGGGGCCAGAAGCTGAACACACAGACAGTCTCTCTCTAGATGTTGAGAGGGATGGATCTGGCTGCTGGGAGCTGAGCAGGGTACCTAAAGTGGAGCAGGGCTGGGGAAAAGCCAGAGGAGCCGGGGAGCTCGGGCCTGGAAAACCCCCAGGCTGCAGGCCTTGCTAAAGGCTGGAAAAGGTACTGGGGTTGTAGAGGGGCAGCCCAAGGGTAGGCAGAGGCAGCAGGTCCAAACCCTCCTTGCCAATACTGCAGTCTGCCCCAGTGAGCGAGGGCTAGACGGTGACTGGCAGTAGCCAAAGACTGAGGCGAGGTGGGGATAGGGGGTTGGCGGTTCCCTGGGGAAGGGAGACCCAGTGAGACTGCGGGGTACTGCAGGGGGCAGAACCCTGAGAGAAGGGGCACTGGGGTCCGGGAGGGATGGGGGCCAGCAGCAAGCGAGACACCGGTCTGCAGAGGGTGCTCCTGAGTGGACAGAGCTAATTCCCAGGATGACCAGCAGGAGGCGCCGTGCCAGTGAGTCGTTGCCCCGCCACAGTTCCCAGTCAATTTCATTTTTTTTCAGCTGCAAATGTGAGCCTTGAGATTTTGATAGGCCTCTCTTAAACATTGCCCACAGTTTGTTTTAATTTTTCTATGGACTTGAGATTTTTTCTTGTTTACAGCGTCAAATGGTCTGGATCATACTTTTTGGCCAGCCTACAAGATATATTTTATAATACCCTAATTTCTTTGTAACAGAGTCCAAGCGTATTCCACTCCAGGAATCGTTACAAAAAACACCTGCTATGTGGTGCAATCTGGTGAATTCCGAAGGCAAAAAAAATTAATTGGTCTTCAGATGTAGCTAAGATCTAGAATAAAAATAAGCCAAGGCAGGAACACTTTAGTCATATCTAGAGATGGGAATGAAATCCACCAGAAGCAGGGAAATATGCATGTGTGCATGTGTACACACACACAAACTGAAACATAATGTATGTGTGGGTACATGCACTAATGTTATTTACATTTTTCCTTCTATTTTATGTCTTATATCTCTTCCCTGGTCTTTCAAAGTTTGTAGTTTTCTTTCCTTTTTTCTTCCTCCGGTTCTGGAAATGATAAGCTTGAAACAATGGCAAAATGTCAACAATATCACGTACCATTCTTTGTAGAGACAGGGTTATAGTTTGTAATAACATAAATCAATATTTAAGTTAAGATTGCGACACAAATCACAAGCAACTAGAAGTTCAATGTTTAGGACATCTTTTTCCTTAACTTAATCTGGGCTTCAATGTTTTTTTTTATCTTCATTTGCTTTGTCTTCTTGACAAAAATGTCAACAATAAAAAAGATATACTTCATGGAAAATACATAGACAGCTCTGGATGAAATAGAGCATTGTGAGTGGTCAATGGACTCCTCCTGCTTTATGAATATTAAGGCACACCTGAATTCTTGGTTTCGGAGCAGACACAAAGATCCAATAACTATATTACAAAGACTTTATATTATATCAAAAGTCTGATACTAAATTAAAGCCAGATTTTCAAAAATGCACTTGAAGAAATGAGTATGCGCATTCTTGATCTGAGTGAACACAGCTGCAATGAACACACAAATCCTAATTTGCATGCGCACACAGCTACTGCAGGTGTGCAGAGATATCAAGCTTGCGAAGGCGCATTGGAGATTGAGTGTGTGCAGGTCAGGGTTGCACAAATGTTGATTGGGTTTTTTAAACAGTCAGGGTCTTATTCATTCCATCTGGCATTTGTTCATGCCATACAGTAACAAGTTCTCACTGCCGCTACTGACCTGCCTGCATTCTTATCAGCTTTGAGAACCATCCTAGCTATGGTCTATATACTCTCCTTCATGTTTAAACCCACCGGTAGAGAAAACGGAGAAACCAACATCTTTGCCCCTATACCCATGAAAATGAGTTTGTGGAGCATGGCGAAGCACATAGCCATGTATACACATAAAGACTGATTACAAAGTAGCAGCCGTGTTAGTCTGTATCTGCAAAAAGAACAGGAGTACTTGTGGCACCTTAGAGACTAACAAATTTATTTCAGCATAAGCTTTCGTGGGCTGCAGCTCACTTCTTCAGATGCACAGAGTGGAACACACAGACAGAAGATATTTATACATACAGAGAACATGAAAAGGTGGAAGTACGTATACCAATTGTAAGAGGCCAATCAATTGAGATGAGCTATCAGTAGCAGCAGAAGAAAAAACTTGGAAGTGATAATCGAGATGACCCATAGAAGGTGTGAGAAGAACTTAACATGGGGGAAAAAAATTCAATTAGTGCAATGACCCAACCATTCCCAGTCTCTGTTTAGGCCTAAGTTAATTGTGTCTAATTTGCATATTAATTCGAGTTCAGCAGTCTCTTTTTGGAGTCTGTTTTTGAAGTTTTTTTGTTGCAAAACTGACACCTTCAAGTCTGTCACTGAGTGATTAGAGAGGTTGAAGTGTTCTCCCACTGGTTTTTGAATCTGATGATTCCTGATGTCAGATTTGTGTCCATTTATTCTTTTGCGTAGAGACTGTCCAGTTTGGCCAATGTATATGGCAGAGGGGCATTGCTGGCACATGATGGCATATATCACATTGGTAGATGTGCAGGTGAACGAGCCCCTGATGGTGTGGCTGACGTGGTTAGGTCCTATGATGGTGTCACTTGAATAGATATGTGGACAGAGCTGGCATCGGGCTTTGTTGTAAGGATAGGTTCCTGGGTTAGTGTTTTTGTTGTATGGTGTGCGGTTGCTGGTGAGTATTTGCTTAAGGTTGGGAGGCTGTCTGTAAGCGAGGACTGGTCTGTCTCCCAAGATCTGTGAGAGTGAGGGATCATCTTTCAGGATAGGTTGTAGATCTTTGATGATGCGCTGGAGAGGTTTCAGTTGGGGGCTGAAGGTGGCAGCTAGTGGCGTTCTGTTATTTTCTTTGTTGGGCCTGTCCTGTAGTAGGTGGCTTCTGGGTACTCTTCTGGCTCTGTCAATCTGTTTTTTCACTTCAGCAAGTCGGTATTGTAGTTTCAAGAATGCTTGATAGAGATCTTGTAGGTGTTTATCTCTGTCTGAGGATCCATGAGGTTCCACCCTTTTTGATCTCAGGTCTTTTGTGAAAAGGGCCTTGCCTACCTTTAGTAAATTGGCTCCACTTTCTCCGTCCAAGGGGAAGAGAAGCCACAGAGGAGAGTTAATCCTGCTTCTTGCTTCTATCAGCACTAAATACTCTCAGAAAACCACCAGTGTTTGAGTGGAGCATGTGATGCAAAGTGGATGCTCCCAGACCCCATACTTCTCATGAGCCTTGACACATTATGTAGACCCACAGACTTCTAAACACACGGTTAATGAGAGGGACTTCAGCAGGGAAGGGAAGGAAGGAAATGTCAGAGTCCTTGCTTTCTCCTTCCACTGCTTTTGGAAGATTCTTTTACTTAGATTTGATCTACACGGAAAAGTTATTGGCATAGTTACATCACTCAAGGTTAAACTGCACCCCTGAGTCAGCACAACGCAGTTATGCTGACAACCCTCTGACCCTGAGTCTAGACATAGCTATGTTGATGGAAATGTGCATCCATCGACATAACGAACATTTATGATGGTGGTGTTCCTGCACTGAAAGAAAAACTCCTTCTGTCAATGTAGGCTTCATCTACTCTAAGGGGCTATGCTGATAACATATAGTGTAGTCTCCGAAGTGTACAGATAACCTTAGATTTTCTTCCCTTAACACCATAAGTTAGAGAGAAATGTATATGCCTAGATATGAAAATTTTCTGAAAACAGAACAATCTGATTGCTGGCACAGATTCCATATTTTAAAATGTCATCCAAAGTTATTTTTATAACATTTAAATATTGGTTTGGTTTGCTAACTCCAGATTACTTGACAATCTATCATCTTCTTTTCCAGATTGGTGCTGCACATCTGGAAAATGCCCGGCTTCTCCTGCAGATCGACAATGCCAAGCTGGCTTCTGATGACTTTAGAATGAAGTAAGTTTCTATGATGAATTAATGTGATCTCCTCCCCACTCCTGTCAGTCAAGTGATCTCTTTAAAAGCCAGCGGGGTCTTCTGGGAAATGTGGGGTTTTTTTAGGAGGAAACTGAACCGCTTCAGATCACTGAAATTGAATAGTAATACAAAACAGATACATTACATACATCCCACCTGCCCTATTCCTATAGAGAAACCCTACAGATACACTTATATATCTTGTCTTGGTAATAAAGTTATTGGAGTTAAAACTGACAATTAAACTGTTTGTCCCTAAAGAGTCAGTAAAAAGGCAATTTGCAGACTGAGACAGTAATAGTTAGTGATTCTCTGAGACAGAACTACAGTCCTAGCTTATCACGGTAAAGCATATAAGTAATTACATATTAATATAGTAATTACGTATTAATTGCATATTAGTAATTACATATTAATGATGCTGGAATGAACATTTCTTTTCCAGGTATGAGAATGAGCTAGCAATCAAACAAAATGTGGAAAATGATCTTGCTGGACTACTCAGAGTCCTTGATGACTTGACCTTGACAAGGTCAGACTTAGCACTACAGATTGAAGGTCTGAATGAAGAGCTGACTTTCCTCAAGAAAAACCATGAAGAGGTGAGAGCAGCAGAGAAACTCATTTAGAATTCACACATTTTCTCAATGACATACAGAAAACATTTGACACATGCAAATCTTGTTCAGAATAATGAAAATTCCATGGTTAATCTGAAAAAACATAAACTTTAGAATTTGAGACATAAAGTGAAAAGATAAAACTATGACTGTTAACCAATCTTGGTTTCTCCCGTTCTTTTCAAGAGGTAGGATCACATAACTGAAATCTGGAATTAACCTGCTACTCTGTTAGTTGCTAACAGAAAGCCTGTTACTTTCACATAGGTTAGGCCTCCTTTGTTACAATCCATAACACAAAATGATTCCTCTTAGCAATCATAAATTATAGTATTCACTTTTTAATACCTACATTCTTTCTAACTGTGTAGAAAAATGACATTTTAGAGGCTCTGAAAATTAAGGCGTGATGGTCTTCCTTTAAAGAATATCCCTTGGTTCTATGGGCCACCACTACATGCAAAACCAGATAACTGGTAGCCAAGACTCCTGCATTCTATTCACAGTTCTGACACTGCTCACTATGACCTTGAGGAAATCATTTCACCTCTGTGTATCTCAGTTTTCCTTGCCATAAAATGAGGAAAATAGTACATCAGAGGGGTGTTGTGAGGCTTTAATTAATATTTGTAAAGTGACTGAGAGTCTCTGAAGAAAGGTGCTTACTCAGGCCTAGGAATTACTTTTATAGCTCTCCTATTTCTATGCATTTTTAATTTGTTTCTGTCTTTCTGTCTTAACATGACTACACATTTCTCTTCCTATTTAAAAGCTTAACTGATGTTCATAAATATAGAATTATCTATAATCATTATTATTTGTAGGAAGTTGGTGAACTGCGTAAACAGTTAGGTGGCACAGTTAATGTAGAGGTGGATGCTGCTCCGAGCATTGATCTTGCCAAGATTATGGAAAACATGAGACAGCAATATGATAGCATGGCAGAAAAGAATCGTCAAGAGGCCAAAGACCGCTTTGATAAACAGGTAAAGTCTCACTGATCACATAACAGCAGCACCTCACAAGGAGTTCAGTCTAGATTTAAAATTGAACTTCACTGCCTTTACACCTTCTTTTCCATTCTTTGTATTTCAGACAGAAGAAGTGAACCAGGAAGTCGCTATTAATATTGAACAACTGCAAACCAAAAAAACTGAGATCACAGATCTGAGACGGACCTTCCAGGGCCTGGAGATAGAACTGCAGTCCCAGCTTAGTACGGTAAAACATATCTAAAATGTAACATCGGGAATATCTTTAACAGATAGTTGTTTGGATAAACACAGGCACTACAAGGTCTTTCAATGTAAACATAATTTTAAAACACAAATAAGTAAGTCCTCTATAATTTCATCTTCTGTAGAAAAAGGCTTTAGAAGACACCCTGGCTGAGATGGAAGCACGTTATGGTTCACAACTTGCCCAGATACAGGCTGCAATTGGCAATGTAGAGGCACAGCTGATGCAGCTTCGAGCTGACATGCAGAGCCAGAGTACTGAGTACAGTACTCTCCTGGACATAAAGACACGGTTGGAGATGGAGATTGCCACATACCGACGCCTACTGGAAGGAGAGGATAGTAGGTAAGGAACTGAGTATCTGTGAAGTCTGTTGTTTAGTTCAGAATTATAGCAAATCAGCAATTATCCTAAATACTCTTTATAAAGGCTGCCTAGGGGTAAAAAGAGGACAGATGTTGAATTACACTTGCATTCAATAAAATGAATGGATAAAGGATGCTTCTGCGTACTAAAATCCTGCCAACACTGGTTACTTTACTGGTGGTGTTAAGTCTGGCTGAAACTAAAGAGAATGAAAGTCAAAGACAAACAAGCAAAGTGAGAAGGCAATTATGCTCTAAAATAGAAAAATATTTGTATTTAAAAAAATTAGTACAAATGCTTCCCCCACAAAAAGTAACAGTGAAATGATCAATTACAAGTACCCTTGTTGCATATGGTAACATGTCTCTTCCAAACTATGGCACTGAACTGTTCAGCTTCTGGGGAAACCTGATTGGTAGCACAAGGGCGCTCTTCATTATCCTTTGCACCATGGATATCTCTGCAAAGCAGCATGGGGACTGGGGATGGGGACAATCTGGGACTTGGCCGGTGGGTCTGAAAACAATGTGGCACTCTTTAGTAAAGCAGGCTGCAGCCATTACTGCATTGTCACACCTCCTTGCAATAACTATTGCTGATCAATGATTGAAAGACAGAGAGAGAGAGAGAGAGAGAGAGAGAGAGAGAGTGTGTGTGTGTGTGTGTGTTCCGGAATGTACGGGGTAAAAATACCCTCCCCTTTCCCCTGGTGCACATGGTGGGTCAATGCCCCCAACTGGTCTTGCCACTTTCTTTTGACTCGTTGGCTACTCTCAGGTAAGTCTGTCTCCCTTTTCCATTCCATTCCTCATAACACAAATGTGGTAGGGACTTTTCAAGGAGTCCTGCCTTCTTTTTCCTGCTGACAGACAGTCAGTCACCACATTCAGCTGCAGAGAGGACATTCTAGAGCAGGGGTGGACAAAGTTTTTGGCCTGAGGGCCACATCTGATATTGTATGACGGGCCATGAATGCTCACGAAACTGGGGCTGGGGTGGAGGTGCAGGCTCCGGGGTGGGGCCAGAAATGAGGAGTTCAGAGTGCAGGAGCGGGGCTCTGGCTGGGGCTGCAGGCTCTGGGATGGGATTGGGGATGAGGGGTTTGGAGGGCAGGAGGGGGATCAGGGCTGGGGCAGGGTGTTGTGGTACGGGGGCGTGGCTCAGGGCAGCGCTTACCTCAAGCGGGCCCTGGAAGCAGCGGCATGTCTCCCCTCCAGCTCCTATGCGGAGGTGCAGCCAGGTGGCTCTGCTGCACGCTGCCCCATCCGCAGGTGCAGTTCCTGGCCAATGGGAGCCGCGTGGGCAGCGCTTGGGGTGGGAGCAGCGTGTGGAGCGGAGCCCCTTGGCTTCCCCGATGCGTAGAAGGCAGAGGGAGTATATGCCGCGGCTTCCGGGAGCCGCGCGGAACGGCCCCCGACCCGGCTCCCCAGCGGAAGCTCGAGGGCCGGATTAAAACGACTGGTGGGCCAGATCCGGCCCGCAGGCCATAGTTTGCCCATCCCTGTTCGAGAGGCTGCTAAAGAAGTTAATTGGTTCAGTATCCATCAAGCCCCATCATAGTACCTGACACAAAGTTCATTTACTTAGGCTTTGTTCCATTCCCCCCAGAGATAACTGTTTGTAGAACTGAGTGAGATTAATCCAAGGAATTTAACAAGAAAAACAACGTTAGCACATGCTTAAATACCTTGCTGTATTGGGGCTTAAGTGAACAAATTAAAGGTACAAAGATCAGTGATCTCAACATTTCTTAAATGTAATAAGCACCTTTATTTACAAAGTATGTTTTATTCATATATTTAGCAGACATTTCCAGACAGAGATATCTACTATAGAAGAGCCCGAGAGAGGTATGTCACTTACATTTTTGTTTTCATATTTTTAGATTTGGTTGCTACTAATTTGCATTAAAATGAATTACGCTGATATAAAACAAGTTGAGGTGTATAAGTCTTTCAGATGCAAATATTAAATCAGTGAAATCTTATGGCAAAATTGCCAATTCCATTAACTATAGAACTCTCAATGTAATGTTTCTGTTAAAAGCACCTTAGAACTATTCCGTTTGTACAAAACCCAAGCACCAAAACATGCTCAGGAGGAATAAAAGACTCAAAACAATGTTCTGTAAAAAGTTCTGGGTGATGTGCAGGATGTTCAGTAATTAGAGAAACCATGTTCTGTACACCAAGAAAGAGAGTTTATTTACTATCAAAAAAGAAGCTACTAGTGTCATCTCTACAAATTCACACTTATGGGACTGGCGCCTCCTTGTGTTCAGCTGTATATTCTTCAAGAAATCACATGCATTGTCCTTGATGCTTCCCTTTTACATAGGTATTCCCCCACTTCCACCCTGGAACTGGCCTCAGCCCACACATGAATTAAACAGTACTATTTTGTTTGTTCTTTTCCATAAGGAGGGATTTTTTCCAACACCCGGAAGTGTATTCTTCCATTTGCCCCAGCTATGACTGGCAGGCACTCTATTAATATGACACCTGAAAACCCAGAATTTTGAGTTCAGACTGAAATTAGCATATCGTTTACACTTAAGAAGATGCTTCATATCTATTTTACAATAAATGGCACTTTCATTCTTAAACCCACTGTTAAACTGAAGAGCAAAATTATACACGATCAGTATTTTAACTTTTCTTTTTCATATGTGTTTCGAATTTCCTGACGTTCCTCTTGATTATGCCAATGGGGGATTAAGGGAGTCCTTCTAAATATGTTTGCTTAACAGGCTGGAAAACTAAAAGTATAGAGCTAGTTACTGAAGTAAACATTAAAAACGTATTACTCTTTTAATATACATGTTTTAATTAGCACTCTGCAATTTTATTTCCAGAAATAAATAAAATTAGGAAGATCAAGACAGTCGTTGAGGAGGTGATTGATGGCAAAGTTGTCTCCTCCGAGACCAAAGAGATTGAAGAGAAGATATAAGCAGCATCAGCAGGGAGATGCCTCTGAACTTCTTAGAGTTGAAGGCAAAAATTACTTGATTAAACTTCAGTGGGAGTTGGATTGGACTGTTTGTGGCTATGTCTACACTGCAGAGTTTTGTCGCCAAAAGTTACTCTGGTTTAATTAAAATGCTTTGATTAAACCGCTTTTGTATGTCCATAGTATGCTCCTTGTATCAGCAGAGTGCATCCACATTAGCAGCTCTTGCATTGACACAGAGAGCAGTGCACTGTGGGTAGCTATACACTGTGCAACTGACCATAAGGTGCTTTGGGAAGGGTTTGCAATGCCTCATGGGGCAGAGACAGCATCACATGTTGCAGGTTTCTCAATCCCATCGTTCCGTGGGCCCATGGACATCCTACTAGATTGCCAGCTGCTTTTCAACAGAAGTGTGTGATGGGAGGGGGAGAGCATGTGTGACAGGGAGCATGTGTGTGTGGGGAGACAGAGACAGAGTGTGTGTTGTGGAAGTGTGTGCGTTGGGGGAGAGTGAACAAAACTCCCCAACAAATCTCTAAGTTCAGACAGCCACCGGAAGCAACCAGGCCTGAGGCGGGGGAGGGGGACACCCCTGACATCAGCCCCCACCCTGGCTCTGCACAGCACAGCAGAGTCTCTCTCACACAAAAAACAACAAGGAGTCCGGTGACACCTTAAAGACTAACAGATTTATTTGGGCATAAGCTTTCATGGGTAAAAAACCTTATTTCTTCAGATGCATGGCATGTGTCTGAAGAAGCCCAGCATCTGAAGCCATGCATCTGAAGAAGTGGGTTTTTTACCCATGAAAGCTTATGCCCAAATAAATCTGTTAGTCTTTAAGGTGCCACCGGACTCTTTGTTGTTTTTGTGGACACAGACTAACACAGCTACCCTCTCTCTCTCTCACACACACACACACAGACACAGACACCCACACGCCTCTGCCTGCCTGCCTCTGAATTCGTAGTGCTGTCGGAACTTCCCGGAGCTAAGAAAGGGGAGGGGGTACATGTCTGCAGGGCAGCTGAGTTCAAAATGGTGAGCAGAGCGGTCACAGCGGGCATTGTGGGATACTGGGAGAGGCCAGTATGGCAATATAACAAATGGCAGCATCTACACTGAAGCTTTGTCACTTTAAGTTTGCCACAAAAAGCTTTATGCCTCTCGTCGAAGTGGTTTCATTTTGTTGCTGAAACTGAAGAGTTTTATCGAAAAAAGTGGCATTGCAGTGTGTACACCTCCACTGTTTCATCACCAAAAGCTGCCTTTTGACAACAAAACTCTGCAGTGTAGACCCAGTGGGGAGCTTTCTATTTACTTCAATGGCACTTGGATCAAGCTGAAAGAAAACTGCCATGTTATCTACTGGGAAACAACATGCTATATCCTCATTTTTTGTCCATTAATCAAAAATTGCTTTGCATCACTAAGTTACAAGGCACAAATATCCTTTAATAGCTCTTTACTTACATGGTGACTGGCAGTTTGATTACCAAATAAGGGCCATTCAGGGAGAGAATACTGTGTATAGACACAGTGTGCCGTGCTGTTAAAAATCCATGATCATTTCTGTTTATCTTAACCATGGTACATACAATTATAGCAATTACTATGGATCTTCTAAGAGTAATTAACAAATAATTTTCAGCAATATGCAATTACGATGTCGCTATATATTTATGAAAAAGCTTCATAAAACTGTAGTAATCATATAAGTACAAAAGACTTAGCATGATGCGTGAGCCATGTAGTTTAATGTTATTGAATCTTTCTTAAACTATCAAAATTGTTTCCTTTGTACTTCTGGTAATAAACTTGACATGTGACATATGGTATCTGTGTATCTGGTGTTATACTGTGCAGCACACCGGTGCCTGCTTTTGCTGAGTGTGAAGATTAATGTGGTCCTTGTAGTTCCAACCATTCACCATACTCTAGCCAAAATATGCTAAGCCAAGTTTAAAAGAACGTCTCTTTTCACCTCTAATTAACTTTCCCTGCATCAAATTTATGCTACTTATTTTTATCCCTCAAATATACTCAACAATACTCAAAGGTACATGTAAACAAATAGATACATAGACAGTTCTAACATATTTTCAAAATCTGGACTAGTCAGGACAGGATTTCCTGACGGGATTTTCTTTTCCTCGTTGAAATCTTTCTGAGAGGCTGCCATCTAGGCTATTTTGTTGAGTCTTGTCTTTTTGCACAACTCTGTGATAAGCAGACACAATGTCACTGAAACCATTTACAAATCAGCAGCAGTAGCTAGCCAAGCCAATGAATGACTGGTCTTGCTTTTTAGTCTTGGCTATAGGCCAGTTAACTATGGATTCCGCTTTCAAAGGATCTGGGGAAACTTGGCCACTTCCTTCCCAGTGTCCTAAATAAGGGTCTTTGATTGCTCCTATTTTACATTTTGACACTTTCACGGTGGGACTTGCATCTCTGAATTTTGTCAGCACAATTCCCAAGAGATTTTTATAACCTGACAAAGAATTGCTAAATATTGCAATGTCATCCATATAAACCTATACAAAGTCTTGTAACCTGTTTAACACTTGATTATCGAGCCTCTAAAAGATGGCTCGTGCATTAATTAACCCAAAAGGTAACACTTTGAATTCAAAAAGTCCTAAATCAGTAATGAAGGTGGATTTTGTCTGTGCTTTGCTGTCTAATGAGATTTACCAATAGCCCTTTGTTAGGTCTAGAGTGCTTAGTGTCATTGACCAGGACATAGGCGGTCTGACCTAGTGATCAAAGCAGCAGTTGGGAGCCAGGAGGCAGGCCAGATCTGGATATCCATGGACCAGAATCTGAGATAGGCCAAAGGGCAGACCGAGAGTCAAGTTGACAGGAGATCAGAGTCCAAGACAAGCCAGAGGGCAGACCAAGCCATGTGTCAGGAAGCAGGGAGACTCAGGTTATCAGAGTCTGAGACAGGTCATGGGGCAGATCAGGGTCAAGAAGAGGGGCAAAGTTGGGATACCAGGAAGTCTTAGTCAGGCAGCAGGAGCAGGGTTACAAATCACTCTAGTATTTGAATGCAGGAGTAATGAAATTTTGTTATCCTTATTGTACAAGTAAAGGGCAGCAGAACTGTGCTTAACATGCCCTGATTGAGGGGATCACCCTAAACTGAACCTTGTTGCTAAGCAGGGGGTAGGGATGCCAAATCCCAGGGAAGATGACACTGAGTGGGAACAGTTGTTCCTAGTGGTGGTGTGGCTGCTGCCTAGAGAGTCCTAGACACCATTTGGCCTATCCTTCACCAGCATTTAATGACAGAGCTGATTAGACTCAATTAAGAGCCCTTGTTTCCAGCTGGTGATTCCTAGAGCTGCCCTGATTGCTGAGCAAGTCTAGGGTCTAAGCCTTAGACTTAGACTTTGTGTAGGGACAGAGAAAGGCAACCCAGAAACTGCACTGGCAGTGAGATTCCTACTATCTGCTGAAATCACTGAGAGCTGGGTTAGTGGTGGAACCTCAGAATGTGATGTCACAGCAGAAAGAGGCAGCGGGATGGCAGCCAATGGCAGCAGAGGACAGCAACAGCAGAGGCATTGCCCAAGGCCCCTACCCCCACCCATGAACACCTCTGAACTCTGGGTCTTCACTAACCAAGGACTACCAACTGTGAGTGAGGTGCCATGGAGGGAAAGGAGAGTGGTGTGTTAAGGGACATTCATTTGTTGGACTTTCATGCTGCAAGATGAAAAATTGAGGCAAAGAGACAGTGCTACCTAATAATTGCCCCCATGACAAATGGGCCGATGATGTCATTATTAATGAAGTTTGAAAGTTCCCAAGGCCCCCAAACAGCAGTTCCTGGGGTATCTCCTCCCCTTTTAAGTCCACTGTCATAAGTAGAGCTAGGAAAATAATGGATTTTGGTTCAGTGGCAATTAAAATAATATATTTAATAAAATAAACAATAATAAATACTAATAAATACTTACTATTATTTTTATTATTTTCAGGTCAAACGAAAAAGAACATTTACTGAAATTTTCAGTGAATTGTTTTGATTTTTTGAATTTTTTTAATGGAAACAACTAGGCAAAATTAACATTAATTCACAAAATGTTTTGGTGTCACTGAATCCACATTTTTTTGTCAAAAAGTTTCAGTCTAAAATTTTCACCAAGCTCCAGTCATAAGAGAAAATGACCATCAGCCACCCAAGAGATTAGTGCCCCGACTTTGGGATATTAACAAATTATATAAAAGAAACAAAGGTGATTTCAGTTTGACAATAGAAACTTTTTGTATATGTCATGTGTATTACCTCTTATTGAACTTTCTGTATGATTTTTTTAATATATCCTTTTTTCCTAATTTTAAATGCTGGTTGGAGAAGCCTGCAATTTTTTAGTCCAGATTTAAAAACATATGCATGACAGAAATTTTCAAGAACTATATTCCTTTTAAAACATAAAATTGATACAGTAATGTATTATATATCCAATTACAGATACAGTAATTCCTCACTTAATGTTGTAATTATGTTCCTGAAAACTGTGACTTTATGTGAAATGATGTTAAGTGAATCCAATTTCCCCATAAGAATTAATGTAAATAGGCGGGGATAGGTTCCAGAGAAATTTTTTTCACTAGACAAAAAACATTATGTACAGTATAAGTTTTAAACAATTTTAAACAAACAGTTTAATATTGTACACAGCAATGAATGATAGTGAAGCTTGGTTGAGGTAGTGGAGAAAGAGGGTAGAATATTTCCCAGGAAATGCCTTGCTGCTAAATGTTGAACTAGCACTCGGCTGAGCCCTCACGGGTTAATACGCTGTTGTTAATGTAGCCTCACACTCTACAAGGCTGTATGAACTGAGGCAGGAGGGAGGAAACACAATAGATGCAGGGCAGTAGCTGCAAACACTTCCCTGCAAAAACTGAACATGATGATGAGCCCACACTATCCAGCTGGAGCGCAGCACTCCCTCCTCCTGACAGCACATGCAGGGCTGCAGAGGTGCTGACCTTCCAAAGTGCTGGGGGGTGCATGCATGAGTTGTCACGGAGTGTGGGGGGATGCAAGGCCCTGCACCCCCGGCTTCCTGCGATTCACCATGACTCTCAGCCAGCCAGTAAAGCAGAAGGTTTATTTAGACGACAGGAACACAGTCCAAGACAGGTCTTGCAGGCACAGATAACAGGACCCCCCTCAGTTGGGTCCATCTTGGGGTCCCAGGGCGCCCCAGCCCCCTTGCGAGGTCAGAGCCCCGTCTGCCTCCCAGCCAGCTCCCCAGCCAGCTCCTGAAACTCTGCCTTCAGCGACCCCTCCCACAGCCTTTGTTCAGTTTCCCGGGCAAAGGTGTCACCTGGCCTCTAACCCCTTCCTGGGTTCTCATGTTACATGCTC